TTTGGTCAGGACTCCTACAATTACCACACTGTGAAATTTCAGTTTTAAATATCTGAAATCATGAAATTTCCGGTTTTTAAAATCCTGTGATCGTGAAATTGACCAAAATGGACCGTGAATTTGGTAGGGCCCTACTCATTACTTATACTCACTTAAAATCTCTCTCTTTTTAGTTAATAAACTTGTTTTGCTGCTTTATCTAATCCAGTGTGTTTAAAGTGAAGTGTCAGGGAAACTCCATTTGGGGTAACAAGGTGTGTGCATATTATTTCTATTGATGAAATGACAGACTTTATATAAACTTGTAGTGTCCACGAGAGGGCTGGGCAATACAGGACATAGATTTCTGGAGGGAAATCTGAGACTGGGAGTGAATTGGGATCACCCTGCAGTATAACCAAGGCTGGTAAGAGCCAGGGTGTGGCTGGCTGGCTGCAGATCACACAGAGATAGCTGGGAGTGAATTGCATGCTGGAAACTCTTTGTGAGCAGTGTCCAGGCTAGAGGCTACAGCATCAAGGCATTGTAAAGGGCACCCCGGATTACAGGGCAGGGGTGACACAGCTACTCATTAGTCTGGATTGTACCCTGGGTCGGTCACAGGGGCATTGCTAAGGACAGAGGGCATCTGATCTGGGGTGACAATGACAACTGAGGGCATCTGGCTCGGGACATTGCTTATGGCCGAAGGCACCCAGTCCTGGGCAACTCTAACGACCAAGGGGCTCCAGGCTGGGGCTTGTCTAACAACTGGAGCATGGCCTAAACTCCACTGCCCTCCCTTTATAGACACACCAGATGCTGCCCGGCTGCCATGACATTTCTAATGAGTCTGCTTCTCTCTCGTCACCCCTTCCTTTTCAATCGGTGCAGCCCACCCCCCTGGCCCTGAGGCCAGCTGCTGCAGTGAGAGGAACCCACAAACCAACTGCAGTGCCCAGGGTTGGTTCTTCCCATCCCCATCCCCGTTTTCCCCAAACCTGGGGCTGGTGCCAAACCAACCTCTCTGCCCTGCTGCCTCCCCATTCAATCCGCTGCCCCACCAGGTGCTTTCAGTTCAGACACCCTCCATCCCATGGGCCTTCCACATGCACCCGGAAGGGGGCTCAGACTGACCGAACCTGGCTCCCTCAATTCAACCCACCTTTGAGAGGCAGCCCGAGCAACAGCAACAGCAGAGGGAAGGCACCTGGGGTCCTGGCCATGTCAGGATCTGGAGCGTGATGGATCCCCGGGGATCTGGGGAGTTAGATGACGCAGGGCATGATGGCAAAGGGAGAAATCCGGCCGGGCGGGCTCACCTGCCCGTTGTGCAGACAGTGTCTGGGCACAGGCGGAGGGGGAAGAAGCCAGCTTGAGGTGCTGGAAACAGAGTTTGGGGGAAATGATTACGCAGATTTCTATCACCCGCTTTTCCCACGGATGTGGGAGGGGGAGAGGAGTGCAGAAGCATCTGCAGAGTGAGAGCACTTCCTTCCGCTCTTCACGCTGATTTCCAGTGACAAAATTCGAAACATCTCATGGGGAAGGTGGGGGAGTGTCAAAAAATCCTGCCTTGTTTGGGTCAGGTGTCCCCGAGCAGCAGGTTTGGGGAGGGGGTGTCATGTCAGGGGACCCCAACTGGAAAAACAGGACTACGTGTAAACTGTGGTCCTGGGGTGCCCTTGCTTTGGGAGTAGGGGTTGTGCCCTTTGGCTCCAAGAGATGCCACTGTGATGGGCTGAATGGAAGAAACTGAGCTCAGATCTTTCCCCCCAGCATCGGGGCGTGACCCCGCAGCTTGCTGGCAGAACCAGGAGGGCCTTGGTTAAGGTGCTGTGCTGGAGACCTGCGTTCAATTCCTGGCTCTGCTATTAGCTATTAGCTCCTGGGTCAGGTCCCCGAGCCCCTGAGCCTTGGTGTCCCCATCTGAAAAACGCTCTACCTAGATCGGGGTCTCAAACTCCATTTCCCTTCGGGCCAGGGCCAGTCCTCAAATCCTCCCAGCGGGCCAATAATGTCACTGAAGATGGTGTGTAGAAAAGAAAATGTTTCTAGTGTATTTTTTCTTTCGAATGTCTTGGAAAGAATACCGCTGTCGTACCACTTGATACAATGCTTCGCCTGCCAGAGAGCTTTTCGTGTTTGCCAGACACCTGGCAATGCTTCAGTTCTGCCAGTTTGTTGATGTTTGGCCTCAGGGAACTGAGCCGTTGAAACCTTCAGGATTGCAGCCAGGTGGGCACCAGAGAGTTGTGTTTGCTACGTTGACTTGTTTATGTTCATTGTGGAAAAAAGTGACTTGGCCTCCAGAGCTGACTCCGCCCGGCAACCAATGATGCAACCGCCACGGCTGACTCTGCCCGGCGACTGGTGATGGTATCTCCGTCCCTCTCCCCCAGCCAGTGGGAGCTGCGGGGGGAGGCACCTGCAGCAGACAGAGCCGGCAGCGGGGCTGCATCTCTCCTGCCTGCTCCCCTCCCCCAGGGAGGGATGAAAGAAGTTTTAAAAAAGTTTCTGCGGGCCGCAGCGGGGAGGTTCTCGGGCCGCAGATGGCCCGTGGGCCGGCACTTTGAGACCCCTGACCTAGAGGCTTTAAGTTCCTGGGGGCAGGGACTGTCTCACTATGTGTCGGGGCAGCAGCTCGCACAATGGGGTTCTGACCTCAGTTCAAGCCTCTGGCTGCTACTGTAATACAAACAGCAATAAAAATAGCATCCCAGTTGGGTAATTCCATTTCATTTCCCTCTACCCGCCATGCCCCCCAGTTGTGGCTTCAACTGACTGCAGGATTCTCTTTCACTTCCCTCCTAAAGCACTGTTCCTGTTAATCACCCCCACATTCCACTCCAGAAGCGGCCGCATCTCAGCGCCAAGTGAGAGATCCTTGTTTAAACAGCCCCCATACCCTCCACCCCCACCAGCTGCATCTCACGAGGAATCTACTGTAGACTTCAAGTTACGAAGCTCCTAACCCCCTCACTTCCCCAGAGCGGGCCTGTAACAGCGTGGAGACCTTCCTGCCACCAGCCCCACCAACAGCACCTGCTGCTGGATTGACCCCCGCCCCCCCTCCAACCCCAAGGGAATAATTCCCTACCCCCACTGCATTGCCACAGAGGGCCAGTGGAATGATTGAATCTAACAGAAGACATCTCTGCTACAGAAGCATGGACGGAGTAGACGCCTAAACCCCTCCCCATGTGGTCTAGCCACACAGAGTTGGGTCTCGTCTACACTAGAAAGAGTCTGCCGTGTAGCTTATGCCGTGTTGTTGCAGCCAGGCTGGTCCCAGGATATCAGAGGCAAGGTGGGTGAGGTACTCTAGTATCTTTTACTGGACCAGCTTCTGTTGGTAAGAGAGACGCGCTTACACAGAGATTTGCTTCGGGTTTGGGAAACGTGTAGTTTATAGCACAGAGTTCCTCAAACTGGGGGCCCTGGCCCAAAAGGGGGTCACAAGACTATTGTAGGGGGGTCGCGAGAGCGGTGGCTGCAGGCCAGGCGCCCAGCTCTGGAGGCAGCGCTGTTGCCAGCAGCAGCGCAGAAGTAAGGATGGCATGGGAGGGGGGAGCATCACAGCCTGAACTATTTTCAAAGGGGGTCCCCATCCCAGCAAAAAAGGTTTGAGAACCCCGGTTAGAGCTATACTAGCAAGCCCCCTTGCGGAGACCTAGCTTATGCCACCAACAGAATTCCTTTAGCTTGGCTTCTATCGGTTCCCCAGGCAGAATAAGCTATTCCAGCAACACGGCCTTTTTCACCGGTATCATTGGGTCTCCCCTACATCTTTTTCCAGCAGAGCTTTGGTGGTCGGGGTGTGATTTATTATTTTTTTTTTAACTGATACAGTTACATTGCATAACAAGATCTAAGAGCTGGAGGTTGAAGCTAGACAATTTCAGACTGGAAATAAGGGGCAAAGTTTCGTGAGAATAATAATTAAGCATAAGAACAACTCTCCACGGGTCACGGTGGACTCTCCATCACTGGCCATTTTTCAATCCAGTTTGGACTGACCTTTTAAAACCAGACCCTTTGCGCTTTCTCCCATGCTGAACTCTCATGCCGGGGAGGGGCTCCCCCTTAAACATCCTCCTCCTTCAAATCCCTCCTATGCCATCAGTCCTACAAAAAACTTGACAGTGTTTAGACCGCTGGTGCTGAGACCACGGTCAGTCATGCTGACCAGCAGTGTCCCATTGTTTCCTTGTACTCCACCATCATTCCGTCTGTATCCATCTGTTGTCTCTTGTTCTAGACTTTGATTGTACAATTTCTGGGACAGGGACTGACGTCTCGTTCCGTGTCTGTACAGCACCAAGCACCGTGGGGTTTTGGTCCACACCAAGGATTCCGAAGCACTACAGTAAATAGAAATGAATAGCAATAATAAAAAAAGTCCCTTCATAACAGAATAACTGAGCCCACACTATGGGGGCTGCACCCCTTTAACTAGACCGGTGTAGTGAAACAGCTACAAATGAGTGTAGACACAACTTTACTGTGGGACACACCCAAACCAAGCAGAATTTAAAAAAAAATAAAACGGCCAGACTTTTTTCATAAAAGATCAAGAAAAGGGGCTCAAACCCAGCCTTAACTTTCCCCCCCTCTGCAGGTCACTTTAAACACTGACATTTGGTCCATTTGCATGGCAGAAATGATGGGTTCTTGTTTTGGGGATTGCTGTTTCACCTTGTTAAATACCACGTCAAACAGCCTTGGAAAAGACAATTCGTACAGAGACAGGAAAGTTCAATTACCACTGACCAGACTCCACACCTCCGCCACACACTGCCAAGAATGTCAGTATATCACTGTGCTAGGCATAAGGACAGGCTGGGTGATTGTAATGGTCCCTTCTGGCCTTCCACATCTATGGTTGGGATTTCCAAGGGGGGATTTCAAACCTGGTCACTTGACACCTTTAGGGTCATTTGAAAATTCCAGTCAATTTATCTGTGATAGTCCAGCCATGTTCTCACACCAAAACCACGTTGACATTGGCCAATGGTTGATCTTCTCCTCAGGTTGATTAATCTACAATAATCCAGCCACATTCTCACACGAAAACCATGTTGACATTGGCCAGTGGTTGACCTTCTCCTCCGGTTGATTAATTTATGATAATCCAGACACAAATGCACAACAACACCATAGTGATATTGGTCAATAGCTGATGCTCTCCTCCAGCCAATTAATCTACGATGTTCCAGCCATGCTGTCATGCCAATGCCACATTGACTTTGGCCAATGGTTGATGTTCTCCTCCCGCCAATGAATCCATAATATTCCAAGCACCTGCTCCGGCCGACACCACACTGATACTGGCCAATGGTTGACTTCCAACGGATGCACTCCCCTAGTGGCCTCTGTCACGTGTGACTTCTCTGATGCTGGATCAGGGCCGAGCTCTCGATGAAGCTTTTCCCACACTGGGGACACTTGTAGGGCCTTTCGCCTGTGTGGATCCTCCGGTGTCGGAAGAGGGTGGAGCTCTGGCTGAAGCTCTTCCCGCACTCAGGGCAGGTGTAGGGCCGCTCCCCGGTGTGAATCCTCTGATGCCTAATGAGGGTGGCGCTCTGGCTGAAACCCTTCCCACACTGGGTGCACTGGTATGTCTTGGCTTTCAGGTGGGACCCCTCGTGCTGAGCCAGACCCGAGCCATCCCGGAAGCTCCTCCCACACTGGGGGCACTTGAAAGGCTGCTCCCTGGCATGGATGCGCTGATGCCGGAGGAGGTTGGAGCTGCGGCTGAAGCTGCGCCCGCACTCGGGGCACCTGTAGGGTTTCTCTCCGGTGTGGATGCGCTGGTGGATGATCAGCGAGGAACTGTCCAAGAAGCTCTTCCCACAGTCAGGGCACTGGAAGGGCCTGACGCCCAGGTGAACCCGGCAGTGGGCGGAGAGCTGGGAGCTCTGGTGGAAGCTCCTCCCGCAATCGGAGCACGTGTAGGGCCGCTCCCCCAGGTGGGTGCGGCGGTGGGCCAGGAGGGCGGAGCGGTGGCGGAAGCTCTTCCCGCAGTCAGGGCAGAGGTAGGGGCGCTCGCCTGCATGGGAATGTCGGTGCTGCAGGAAGCAGGAGGCCTCAGCGAAGTTCTTCCCGCAATCGGGGCACTGGTGGGGCCGCAGTTCTCGGTGGGTGCGCTGGTGCCGGATCAGGTTGGAGCTGCGGCTGAAGTGCCGGCCACAGTCGGCACAACGGTAGGGCTGCTCCCCGGAGTGGACACGCCGGTGTGTGAGCAAGGCCGAGCTGGCCACAAAGCTCTTCCCACACTCGTCGCACTTGAAGGGTTTTTCACGGACGTGGGTCCGCTGGTGCCGCAGGAACTGGGTGCTCAGTCTGTAGCTCTTCCCGCACTGGCTGCAGATGGTCAGCGGCTCCCCCAGCTCGGGTGGCAAGAGGGACATTTGGGGGGTTCCTGCCACACCTCTTCCTGAGAAGGTCCCAGCTCCTCCTCGTTCTCACGCCCGTCCCGGCACCTGCTGGGAGAGAGTGAATGAACCTCAAACACTATGACTCAGGTCCAAGCTCTGATCTCCCCTGGAGCTGTCTGGTTGGCAGGGAGGGACCTGCCCTGCCCTGCCACCTGCCACCTGCCGGCTCTGGGACCTCCCCTGCCACTCTGCTCCTGCAGCCCGTTCCAGCTGGGAGAGAGAGAGAATCCAGCCGGGGCTCGTTCCCTGCGCTGGGGAGGGAGGAGGGGCAAGGGGTTTGTCGCTGATCTCGGTCAGGGCCTATGCAGCCCCTGCCACAATGGGGGACCCTGATCTTAGTAGGGGTCTGTGTGGTGTCTGGTACAATGGGGCTTGATCTCAGCCTGGGTCTGTGCAGGGCCTGGCACAATGGGGGCCCAGATCTTAGTCAGGATCTGTGCATCACCCAGTACAATTCACAGATTCCAAGGCCAAAAGAGGCCGTTGTGATCATCTGTTGTGAACTCCTGCTTAACACAGGCCAACGAACTTTCCTAAAATAATTCCTAGAGCGGATCTTTTAGACAAAAACATCCCCTCGATTTTAAAATTGCTAATGATGGAGAATCCACCACGACCCTTGGTAAAATCTTCCAGTTGTTATTACCCTCACTGTAAAAACATATGTCTTATTTCCAGTCTGAATTTGTCTAGCTTCAGCTTGCACTCATGGGATTGTCTTATATATTTGTCTGCTACATTGAAAAGCCCATTATCAAATATTTGTTCCCCCTGCAGGTGCTTAAAGATTGTAATCAAGTCACCCCTTAACCTTCTCTTTGTTAAACTAAATAGATTGAGTTCCTTGAATCTATCACTATAAAGCCTGTTTTCTAATCCTTCTAATCCTTTAAAAAGAAAAGGAGTACTTGTGGCACCTTAGAGACTAACCAATTTATTTGAGCATGAGCTTTCGTGAGCTACAGCTCACTTCATCACTTCATGTAGCTCACGAAAGCTCATGCTCAAATAAATTGGTTAGTCTCTAAGGTGCCACAAGTACTCCTTTTCTTTTTGCGAATACAGACTAACACGGCTGTTCCTCTGAAATCTAATCCTTTAATCGGTCTTGGGGCTCTTTTCTGAACCCTCTCACCAATGTAGCAACATCCTTCTCTAATTGTGGACACAAGAATGGAACCCGCAGTACTCCGGCAGTGGTCACATCAGTGCCAAATATAGAAGTAAAATAACCATCCTACTCCTACTCAAGATACTGCTGTGTATGCATCCGCTTATGCATAGAATCAGAGAAGATCAGGGTTGGAAGGGACCTCAGGAGGTCATCTAGTCCAACCCCCTGCTCAAAGCAGGACCAACACCAACTAAATCATGTCTCATCCCTTTTGGCCACAGCATCACATGGGGAGCTCATGGTCAGCTGATTATCCGCCATGACCTCCAAGTCTTCAGAGGCATTGCTTCTCAGGTTAAAGTTGTAAGCATCATCTACATCCTTTGTTTCTATAGTCACATTTAGCCAGGGGTGAAAGTAAGCTGGTACGGGCCTGTACGGTGTATTGGTAAAAGGTGGCCTTCGGTACCGGCCCGTATGGAGCCAACGTGAAAGCGCTGCTGTGGCAAAGGACCCTGCTTTGAGGGCAAAAGGAGCAGCTGCCCCAGGGCCGGCGATTTAAATTGCCCCAGGCGGCGCGGGCCAGGCAGCGTGGCTGGGGGACGCTGACCCCCCCAGCCCCGCCCCTTCCACCCAAGGCCCCGCCTCTTACTCCGGTAAGTGTTGAATGTTACTTTCACCCCTGCATTTAGCCATATTAAAACACAGATTGTTTGCTTGCACCCAGTCTACCAAGCAATCCAGATCGCTCCGTATCAGTGACTTGTCCTCCTCATAATCCATCGCTCCTCCCATTTTGTGTGTTGCCAGTAAACTTTATCAGTGGCGATTTTATGTTTTCTGCCAGGTCATCGATAAAAATGTTAAATAGTGGGGGTGCCATGAACTGATCCCCGTGGGACCCCGCTAGAAATACACCCACTTGGTGATGATTTTACAGTTACATTTTCAGACCTATCACTTCGCCAGCTTTTGGTCCCTCTCATGTGCGCCAGGTTAATTTTACATCGTTCTAGTTTTTTTTCAAAATGTCATTCAGTAGCAATGCCAACACCTTACAGAAGTCTATCTTACATCAACACTATTGCCTCTGTCAACTACATTTATAATCTCATCCGAAAAAAACCCCAACCCAAGTTCTAGCACAGTGGGGCCCCCTGGGCTGTAGGGGAACCCCACTCGAGGGCTGTTAAGTTACTGATCTGATCTATGACACAGGGAAGAGGTGTTTTGACGAATGAGTCACACTTAGCAGTAGAAGTCATTTTGCAAACATCACCTAAGGGCCTTGAAACCACACAGTGTGTTAACCCTTTTCATGCCACGCCAGAGCTGCAAAAAGCAGCCTAAACGTGCCGAGGTGCAGGAGCTAGGGAGTGGTTTCCAGCAGATCCAGGGTTGACAGTTTGGTTCAATGGCTCTCACGCGAATTGCTGGGGGGGGGGGGGGAGATCTCAGCACACGACTCCCCTTCATTGCCTGGGGTCAGTAACTTTGCTCCAAGGAAGTGGTACAAACCACAACCTCCAGTGGGGTCCCGGGGGCTCGCTGCTGGGCTGGGGTGGGAATGGGGGGGACAGCCTGCTGGGCTCAGCTGCACAGACCCACCTCTCCCAGCACCGCCCTAAAGCTGTGTGTGTGGGGGCGTGCTCTCCGGTCCCAGCCCCCCCTTCGGCTCCGACCCCCCCGGCCCTGCGGCCGCTTCGTCCAAGCAACGATTTCCTGCCCCGGCCGCTGTTTCTCTCCCTCCCCGGAGCCGCCGCCCCTGCGCCCCCACTCACCGCCCGGCTGCAGCGCACGGGGTGGGGGGGTTACTGGTTGGTCCCCTGGGGCGCGGGGGGGGGGCTCATTGCAGACAGGGGGTCCGGCCCCTTGGGCAGCGGATGCTGCCTGAGTCCCCGGCCCAGGGTGCAGGCAGGGGGGTTGGACAGGAAGGTCCCTGCGCTATTGCAACCCCGCGGTCGGCTCGGGCGGCTCCGCTCCGGGAAGATCCGCTTTGGATAGCCCGGCCTGGCGGCCCCAGGAGCCGGGAAAGGCTCTGCACGGGGCGGAAGGATGCAGGGTCCCGCCCGGGGGGCTGGGCTGGAGAGAGGGGGGGATAGATCCCTCCTGTGGAGGATGCACCAGTTCCCCACACCTTCAGGAGAGACCCCCTATCCCTGGCGTACCCACATCCGTTGGCTCCTCTTGCCCCATCTCCGATGCCCCGGTCTCGCCGGGACGGTGGCCCTGCCCAGCTGCCCCAGTGCCCGTCCATGCCCGCCCTGGCACCAGGTCTTGGTTTGGGGGTTCAGCTGGGACCCCGAGGAGCCGGCGTTGGGGGAGCTCAGCGGACTGGTGCAGATTCCCTGGGGCGGATAACACAGACCCCCTAGCTAGGGCTGTGTGGGGCAGGGGATCTGGACCCTTGCAGGCTCACAGTCCCAGAGCGAACTCACAGCAGGAGCAGATATTGGGGGACCCATTATGGGCCTGGCTGGACTTTAATGCAGCGCCCCACAAAATCCGGGAATTCCGCCCCTCACAGGATGGTTCTAAAGAGGGAACCATTCTCCCTCCCAAAGAGCCCCCAGGGAAACCCCAGGGGGCTCTTTCTCTGATGTATCCAAGGCCATTATAACTGGGGCTCCAGGACCAGAGCCAGGAGAGTGCAAAGCATTGGGGCAGGGGGTCATTCCCCAGGCGCCACAGTGATCACAGCCAGCTGGGAACTAGGGCCTCACTGGGGAGCCAGGTCTGGACACCTGCTGGGAATGGATAGTTTGGGGCAGGGCCCCAGAATGCCTGGGAACCTCCAGCATCTCCAGGCCCGGGAGGGGACTGTCTTTTGTAAGGAACAGGCCAAAACACTGTGTTCCCCTATGATCTGATCTGTAACCACTGCTCTAGACTCCACGCCCCTCCCAGCACTGCAGACAGAACCCAGGAGTCCTGCTCTACCCCACATCCCTCCCAGAGCTAGAGAGAGAACTCAGGAAAGCTGATCCTACGTTCAGTGCTTGTCGACCAGTTAATTGTGTGGCTTGTGGGCTAAAAGCTTAGCCACACCCCCCTCTGGGGGCTGGTCCACAGAACAAAAGGGGCTCAGGCCACGCCAGTCACCTATGAGATAAGATTCTTAGAGTCGCACATGATGGGATTGTTTTTCCTAGTTTCCTTTAAAAAAAAAATCCTTGTTATTGAAGTCACACAGTGAGAAACCGCCCTGCAAAGACCAGGTTTGACTGTGAAAAGCCCATTGGAATCTGACAATTCATGGGTTCCTGCCCCCACATCACCCATTTTAGGTCAAGGAGATGGGGTGTGGCCAGATACCTGGGAGCTTCTCGGGCTGCTCTGGGCCCAGGAGAACTAGGAGCTTGGTAAGCGCTGTGGAGAGAGGAGCTGGGTGCCCCCCACCTGGGAACATCCATCTGTCTGGCTTCTCAGGGAGCAGCCCCTCCTGTTCCCAGCAGCCTATTGTGTTCACGCACTCCATGGCTCCCGAATGTGGCTGGGGGCACTCTGCTGCACCGATCTCCTGTGCTGCCCTGAAACTTGCTGCGGGGGCAAAGGGGGGAACCTTCTGGCCTCAGCTGCACAGACCCCGCCTCCCTCCATGCAGCTCCCAGGGCTGGCTGGGGGGAATCTCTCTGGTCCCAGCTGTGGTTCAGGCTCCCAACCCCTTGTCCCTGTGGCCGCTTCCTCCAGGCAGGGGATTTCCTGTCTCTGCCGCTGTTTCTCTCCCTCCCCCGGAGCCGCCTCTCACTGAGGCTCTTCTCTGCATCTCCCCTGTGCCCGGCACCCCCACTCACTGCTCCAGCTAGGAGGGGTCTGTGGCAGTTGGAACTTTGAGGCTCAGGAGGTTCCAGGGTCAGTGGAACATTGGGGCCTGGAACCTGGGCTAGATGGAATCTTGGGGTCAGGAACGTTCCATAGCCATGGGGGCAGATGGAACACTAAGGCTTGGAAAGTTCCGTGACTGCTGTACATGGGAGCAGACTGGGTGCAGTTGGGATGGGGTTGTGTCCTTTGGGGTCCGCTGAGGAGAGGGAGAGACCCTAGCTGGCTTTCCCCACCACCACCCTAGAGATAGAGGCATTCGCCTCTCTCGGATACTTTTTTGAGATCCTCACTGAGGTGAGATGGGACTGATGCCAGCCGTTGCAGACTGAAGTCCCCTCACCCCGGGCAAGGGAGATCAGCAACCAGAGAATGCTGGGAGAGATGGGGTTAAACCACAGGAACCTCCCACTAAGCAAAGGAAATCTTGCTGCAACCTTACACCCCTTCAACTTGCCCTGGTTATCCAGCATCTTCCACTGGCTGGGTGTGACACAGCCATAGGAGGACTCTTACCCTCTGGACCATAATTCCTGAGTTGGCTGGGCAGGGTCGGGAGGGATCCTGATGGGTTTGGCTGAACTGACCTGTCCTTTAGACATAGCCCAGGGAGTGACACACCTTATAGAAAATGGTCACTTCGCTTCAACCCTTTAGATAATAATTCACAAGCCGAGTTAGGTCCCATTCAGCCACCCATCCTGAAAGGTTGATGGCTCATTTATCCTTCTGGGAAATTCCTGAGAGTCCAAGTCAACGTGGATCTTACTGAAACAAGATTTGTTAGGAAAAACAAGGAGACATCCACATAAAGGTATCCAAGACCAAGGTGTCCAAATTAGCCAGGTCTAAGGCATCCCACCCTTGCCCAAACTGGGCCACACAACTCTGTCATGGTAGTAAAGAAATAGTAAGGTCTCACACTCCCATTTCTTTGTTTGCATTACATAGCATCTCGGGGCCCCGTTCTGCTGGGCGTTGCACAGAAACACACTCAGAAACACCTCCTGGCCTGAAGAAATTACCAATTAAACAGAGAAAAAGACAGATAGGGAAATTGAGACAGAGATGCCCACAATCTCATGAAGAGGCTGGGGCAGTCACGGAACCAGATTTGTAGAGCTCTAGCCCAGTGACTTACATGTAAAACACTGCCTCCGAGTGCCCGGAGAACTCATTCCCAGGCTCACCCTGGGGGACCCTGTTCTTCTGTAGTCACATCTTGCAGCTCTACCAGTCCATTTCCTGCGGGGTTCCAATGATCACACCAGTTAGCCCCACAAACTGCCTCACAGCAATTGATCTCCTTGAGTCTATCTATTTAGCTTGACAAAGAGAAGGTTATAGACTTGATCACAGTCTAAGTACCTACAGGGGAAACAAATATGTGATAGTGGGCTCTTACATCTAGCAGAAGAAGGTATAACAAGTTCCAAAGGCCAGAAGTTAAAGCTAGACAAATTCAGACTAGAAATAAGGTGTCAGTTTTTAACATTGAGAGTAATTAACCTTTGGAACAATTTACGAAGTGATGGATTCTGCATCACTGGCAATTTTTAATCAAGATTGTTTGTTTTTCAAAAAGCTCTGCTCTTGGAATTTTTGGGGGGAAGTTCTATGGCCTGTGTTCTGCAGGAGGTCAGATAGGCTGATGACAATGGTCGTTCTGGCCTTGGAATCTATGAATGTTACTTTATCATTTTGACTTTTACTTTATATTAAAATTTATAATATAATACTGCCACGCTCTTATACACAGTGCTTTTCCTCAAGTAGATCTCAAAAAGTGCTTTACAAAGGTCAAGTATCATCACCTCCATTTTACAGATGGGGAAACTGAGACACAGAGGGGTGACATGACCTGCCCAAGGTCACCCAGCAGGCCAGTGGCAGAGCTGGGAATAGAATCCATGTCTCAGTGCAGTGTGCGATCCACTAGACCAGGGGATCTCACAACAATTTTTTTGGGGGCCTCAGAGTGCGGCCACCAACTCTTGCTGGTGGCCGCGCTGACAAGTTTTCCTAAAATAGTTAATTAACTTTAGGAAAAACATATAAATATGCACATATGTCCAAATCATTGTAATTTATGTAGGGTTTTTTCAGACTCGGTAATAAAAATAATTTACAGCTGTCTCTATTTGTTACTGGACATAAACAGAATAGAAACACAAATAAGGTGCTTCCCGTGTTCTTGTCTTTTTTGTGGTTTCTTTTGCTTTTTTGGTTGCGCTTTTTCTTCCCCCCCTAAGACTTGCTAGCTGATAAGTTTTCTGCTGTGAAAGTGATCTTTGTATGTTTGCTAATATCACTTTTCACAGCAGACTTACTCAGCCCCGGCAAGCCCTGGGACAGATTAAGCCCTGGTTGGAGAGGTGGGCAGGGAGGCAGCGGGGCCCAGGGACAATAGGGGTGTGCATAGGGGATGGTGAGCCTGGGGCTGGAGCCTGAACCAGAGCCGCCACTGCGTGGATGGAGACCGAAGCCCCATAGCTGAAGCCTGCCCACCTTACCCCGGGAAAGTGGGGAATTTACCTGCTGCCTGCACCTGCAGCGTGTCTGTCTCCAGAGGGGGGCAGAGACCAACCACTGCTGGCGGCCCTGGGACAGGGGCCACTGCTGTGTGCCCCTCTGCCCCCATCACAGCCCAGGAGGCTGTTGCCACAAGAAAAGGCCCTGGTGGCGAAACACTGCCCTAGACCACACTGCCTCTCAGATAACAGAAGACATAATTAGTCAAAACAATAAATAAAATGAAATATTTTCCCCAATAATATTTTGTGAAAAATTATGAGCTTTCAACAAATCGGGGTGAAAATCAAATTTTTAAAATCTCTGACATTCAAAGTTTTCGTCCCATGGGAAATTCAATCAGTTTAGGGGTTAGCAGCAGACTCACAGAGTCATAGAAATGGAGGGCTGGAAGCGTCCTTGAGAAGTCATCTAGTCCTCTCCTCCACACTGAGGCAGGATCAAATATACCTAGACCCTCAATGAGAGGTGGGAGCTGTCCGAGATCCGGAACTGTTCTTAAAAACCTCCAGGGCCACAAATTCCACATAAATTCTGATACACGCTCCAGTCACCAGAGGGAAGACAAGAGGACATCTCTGTGCAAGCAGGGGGTGCATACCCACTCCAGAAATGTACCCACAATGCCCCTTGTGACGAAGTGGGGGATTTTCTTGTTTTTTCCAATGGTTTGCATGCAGAGGGGGTGGGACTCAGTTTCCCTGTGTGTTACTGGTTTAACGAGGTGATGGGAGAGGGAATTTGTTGTTACAGAGGACCGGCGAGGGAACTTGGGACCCCAGCCAATGGCCTGGAGAATGGATACCCCAGCAACTGGTGACCTGGCGACCCGGAGGCTCAGCTCAGGAGTCGCCCTGAGAGTTTCCTATGCTGTGTTCAAACGCTCAATAAACCCTCCTGTTTTACGTTGGCCGAGAGTCGCTCCGGTCTAGAGAACAGGGTGGCATTATTCCCTTTGGGAGTGGAGGCCCCGGAGGTCCAGAGCAAGTGGACTCCCTGAGGGGGCCGATGGCGAGAAACAGGTGTACTAAGGCTCAGAGAGGTGCGGCTCCAGGAGGTGGAGGGGTTTAACCCCCGAGACAGAGTGGACCCCCGAGAAGGGCTGTCACACTGAAGGGGGTTCCCCCCACGGACCGCACGGGGCTATGAGTGGGCACGCCTTGTGAGTGCGAGACACCCCTGTGCGGGCAGGGCAGGTCCCCCGCTGGCGTCCCTAGGCCGTGTGCATTTTCTGGTGCTTGGCGAGGTAGGAGCTGAGGCTGAAGCTCTTGCAGCAGTCGGGGCATTTGTAGGGTTTCTCTTCCGAGTGGATCTTCTGGTGCTGGATGAGGGTGCAGCTCTCGCGGAAGCCCTTCCCGCAGTCCGAGCAGCGGAAGGGCCGCTCCTCCGAGTGGGTCCGGCGGTGCTTGTTGAACGCGGAGCTCCAGTTGAAGCTCTTGCCGCACTGGGCACAGTGGTAGGGCCGCTCCCCGGTGTGGGTGCGCTGGTGCTTGATGAGGGTGGAGCGGTGGCTGAAGCTGCGCCCGCAGGCGGGGCACCCGTAGGGCCGCTCCCCCGTGTGGACGCGCCGGTGCTGAGCCAGCTGGAAGCTGTGGCTGAAGCCCTTCCCGCAGTCAGGGCAGGGGTGGGGTTTCTCCCCGGTGTGGACGTGCTGGTGGGAGCGGAGGTGGGAGCTGCGGCCGAAGCTCTGCCCGCAGTCGGGGCAGCGGTAGGGCCGCTCCCCGGTGTGGATCCGCTGGTGTTGGATGAGCAGCCGGCTGAGCTTGAAGCTCTTCCCGCACTCAGCACACTCATAGGGCCGCTCCTCGCTGTGCACCGTCTGATGCCGGCTCAGGGCCAGTTTGGTGCCAAAGCTCTTCCCGCACTGGGGGCACGGGTGAGGCCTGTCCTCTGCACCCATCTCACCGCCCACGCCAGGGCGTTCCCCGGTGTGGGCGTGCTGGTGCTGGATCAGGTAGGAGCTGTCCCCAAAGCTCTTCCCACAGGCCGCACACCTATAGGGCCGCTCCCCGGTGTGGGTGCGCTGGTGCTTGGCCAGGTGGGAGCTCTGGCTGAAGCCCTTCCCGCAGTCGGGGCATTTGTAGGGCCGCTCCCCGGTGTGGACCCGCTGGTGGACAACTAGGTGGGAGCTGACCCCAAAGCCCTTCCCGCAGTCGGGGCACTGGAAGGGTCTCTCGCCCGTGTGGGTGCGCTGGTGCTGGAGGAGGTGGGAACTGCAGGTGAAACCCTTCCCGCAGTCAGGGCATTGATGGGGCCTCTCCTCTCTGTGGGATCTCTGGTGCTCAGCGAGGTCTTTGTATTGAGAGAAGCTCTCCCCACACTGCCCACATATGGCCAGTCTCCCCTCCGGACGCCCAGAGGAGTCTTGGAGCTGCCAGGGATCTCCCTCTCGCTCAGCAGAGCTCTCCCTTGGGAGGTTTCCTCCCTGCCGTCCCGCCCCACCGACGTCTCCCTGCTCGGGGCTCCAGGACGGCGCGTGTCGCTCAGGTTCTGCAGGCCCTTCTTGCTGGGGATTCTCCTCCTCGTTCTCACTGGCTGCCCCGGCACCTGCTGGGAGAGCGAGAGAGAGAATCCAGCCAGGGCTCGTTCCCTGTGCTGGCGAGGGGAGGCCAAGTAGTTGGTCACGGAGTGGAAAACCTGATGGGCAGGAAGCGAAATCCCACAAACCCTTCCCTGAAGAGAGAGAGGAGGGGCGGGGTCTGCTCCAGCGGCCCAGCTGAGTCCCCAGAGAAAGACTGAAGGGAGGGAGGGCTCCTGCCAGGCATCAGGCAGGACAGGTGGGAGCTGGGAGTGACACCTCCCATGAGGACAGGGCACCTGCTGAGTGAGACGAGATGATTAGGGAATTATTTATATTTGTATGTGATACGAAGGCTAGGACCGAAAACTCAGAGCCTTGAATAACGAGGATATATCTGAAACTCATATTGCAACGCTCATTTAATCTTTTATAACAAGGACGAAGGAAGCGGGGAGTACCAGCTGGTATTTAAGGTGGGGATCAGGCTAGATCCCACCCTTGTGTAAATGGGCATCACTACACTGGAGTCAATGGGCCAGATCCCAGCTGGTGTGAATCAACGAGCAACACGGATTGACATTAGCTGTGGATCTGGCCATACATTGCTAGAGCCCGATACACGGAGCTGTGTCGGGCCAAACCCTTGTACGTTGCATCCCTTTCCCGCCTAGCACCCTTTGCCTGCCTTTGCCTCTTAAGGGTGAAAGCTCTTTGGGTCAGACACTAGGTCTCTGTGTTTATGCAGCACCTGGCACCGCGGGGCAAGGCGTGTACGTGCTGCCACACTAGCGGAGACAGAACTGGGGGCTCCCGGTGGCTTTGCTGGGATCCCAGCGTTTCCCTTCCCTCCTGGAGGGTCTCCGAGCCGGTGTGGCTCATTCCTCACCTGGGTGGGCGCCTCTCGGGGTCTCTCTTTCCTCGGAGCCCTGGAGATCCAGGGCCCTCGGCTCTTCCCCTGGCTCCATGTGGGGGATCCCGGCCAGGTTGGGGTCGGGGAATCCTGTTTAGGAGAAGAAACCGGTGAGATGCGCCTGGGGGGTGAGGGGGGATGTTCCCATGGGCTCTTTGAGGCAGGGAGACCCCTGGGGGCAGATGGGCCGCGCCCCCTGCAGGGGAATCAGGGATCTCCAGGCACACGGGGCCGGGGGGGGGGGCAGCAGCTGGCCCCTTGTAGCGATGGGTCCGGGCACAGCCCCATGGAGGAGCTGCCGCTGGGATCTAAGCACGGGGGGTTTATTGAACATGCACGGGGAGGGCAGGGCTGGAACAGGGACCCTGCCGGCCTCAGCTGCACAGACCCCCGGAGCTGGATGGGGGGGTCTCTCCGGTCCCAGTTCGGCTCCGATCCGCCTCCCGGGCAGCCATGTCCTGCCTCTGCGGCTGGCTCTCCCCGCTCCCGCCGCACGTGGCCTGGGACCGCGCCGGCCCCTCCCTTCCGGCCCGGGGCTCGGCGGCACTCGGAGCTCGCTGGTTTTAACTCTGAGCTCGCCAGAGCACCGGCAATCGAGAGACCCCCCCCGCCCCGAACAGGCACCAAAGACCCCGGCGCGGAGCAGTGTCTAACCCCCGCCCCAGGGCAGGTGGGGGATACTCTGCACCCCACTTGCAATGGGGGATCCTCGCACCCTCCCTCAGAGACCCCCCCCCCGGGAACCCTGCACCCCCCCGGGGCCGGACCCTGGCTCTGACATATCCTGGGCTGTTGTAACCCCTGCCCCTGTAGTGGGGGCTCCAGGCAGGGCCAGATTGACACCTTACGCGCCCCTAGGCACAGCGTCTTCAGTGCCCCCCCAGCTGCCCTTGGTGTTTTCCATTCAAAAATGAAACTTTTAACCCACTATTAACTTTTAGGCACCCCTAGAACGCTGCCAGCACCCCTGGGCACGTGCCTCCTGGGCCTAACTGGGAATCTGGCCCTGGCTCCAGGAACTAGCGTGTGGGAGTGGGATCTGGGTACCCACTGGGAACTGATATTAGCGGTGGGGATGGTCGGAAGTCTGGGAGCCTCCAGGGCAGTGCTGGCCACAGAGGGGACTTTCCCCAGATGTCCCTGGCTCCTGAACGAGCAGCTCCCTGCAACTTGGAGAGAGGAGCCAGGCGCTGGAGAGGGCAGGAGGCCATGGGCCTCTCAGGGACCTCCGGTTTCTAGCGGCCTTTGGGACTTTCACCCCAACCCGAAGAATAACCCACACCGGGTGACTCGTGTGTCCCCATCTAGTGGCCAGACTATTTCTGGACGTTTATGAGCTTCCTGCAGCCTCTCAGCTGAGGGCTCTGATCCCATCACTCAGGCAGCCATGCCTTGAGCTTTCAGATCCAGAGCTCCTGGGTTCAATCCAGGCAGACGTCCCGGCCAGAGGCATCATTACAAGAGGCTGCAAGATCCAGCAGAGCAAAGAGCCCGCAGCATTTGGATTCCAAATCCCAAAGCGGAGAATGGGCGATAGGGAATGGATCACTTCATCCTGTTCTGTTCATTCCCTCTGGGGCACCTGGCATTGGCCACAGGCGGAAGACAGGATACTGGGCTAGCTGGACCTTTGGTCTGACCCAGTAGGGCCGTTCTTATGTTCTTAATTCGGGACAGGCATAGATATATAGGGTACAGGCTGGGCCTGGGGGTTAATGTTTCCTGCTGAGCAGGGGAAGGGAAAGTAACTCACTCTGATGCAGATACTTCCAGTATTCAGTTCCCTTTCAGCCTGGCTGAGAGAACCTTGTCTCCAGAACAGATTGCCAACTAATATCAGCCCGTCCCTTGCCATATCAGCCCGTCCCCTGGCTGATATGGCAGGGGACGGGCTGATATTATTTGGCACCCCGCACATGAAGATTACAAGACATCTTAATGAGCAAGGGCACTGGATTCTACCCCATATGGAAGAAATTGGAGAAGACTCAATGTGGTCAGACTCTCAGCTGGTGTAAAGTGGCATCGCTCCAGTGATTTCAATGAGGCTCTCTAGCCCATTATGTCAAGGCTCTGAACCTTCTCCCCAACCCACCATGTAATTCAGGGACAGGGTCTCTCTCAACATGGTTTTCCTGGCATCTGATAAGATTCAAGCTCCCACCAAAGCATCTCCACACACATCATTACACTCAACTTTGATGACATTTCTCTGTTGGTCTGTAATGCGATCACTTTTGAATGCCCTGGCTGATCAATTCCGCAATTTCAGACCCTGTTCTAGGTGTCAAGGGGCAGAACCCCATGGATCTGGCAAAAAACAGGAAAAAAACACCCAGAAAACCGGAATGGCGAAATGTGGGGTGCACCCAGCCCTTGGTCTTTGGCTAGCAAAGCTACAGCTTCCACCACCTCCATAATTGTCCGTAGCTCAAAGGAGAGGCTGATGACACCTTCCTGTGTCCCAGCCCCCCCATCTCAGTTTGAAAGGCTGACATCCTGCATGACTTAGCTCCCAGATAGAAAGAAAATAAAAACCGGGGGAAGGGGCAAAGCAGGGTGTGAGGGGGCGTACAGAGCCCCTGGCATGAGCAGGAGAATGGGGGACCCTGGTACAGGGGGAATAGGAGCACAGAGACCCTGGCATGGGGGAATGGGGGCATAGAGAACCGCTGCTAGAGGGAAAATGAGGGACCCTGATATGGGGGAAGGGGGAATACATAGGGAGAAGGGGGGAATAGGGGATGGGGAGGCAGATAGAGCCTCAGGAATGGGAGGTGAACAGGGGATAATTGTATGGCAGATGGAGCCATATGGGGGACGGAGGATGGAGCCATATGTATGGGGTATTGTATGGGGGATGGAGCCATATGTGCTGAGGAGGGGAGTCTCAGAAATAGAAAGGGATGAGAGGGTGGCCCACAGGAGCTAGTAGGGGAAGTAGAAGAATGCAAGGAGCCCCTGGCTTGTGCAACGGGCTCAGCCTGCAGAAGCAACCAAGTGTGAAACTCTCTCGTTTAAAGGTGATTTGAGGGCCAGAAGGGTTCATTGGGATCATCTAGTTTGATCTCTGTAACGCAGGCCAGAGACTCACCCTGTGATCTCTGCATGAAGCCCACAGCTCGTGGCAGAGCGACAGCATGTCTTCGAGGATACCCTGCCAGTCGCCCTCTAAAGACCCCAAGGGAAGGAGAATCCACCATGTCCCTTGGTAAGGCTGCCCCAGTGTCTGTCAAAAATATGCACCTTCTCTCCGGTCTGCCGCAGCTCCCAGCTGTGGATCTCGTTCAGACTTTGTTGATGACAGAGCCATCTGCCATCAGGAACCTCCTTCCCATGCAGGGGTGTGTAAACCTAAATCAAGTTACCTCTGAGCCTTCCCTTGGAGAAACCAAAGAGACGGAGCTTCTTCTGTCTTTCACTACAAGGAAGGTTTTTCCAGACCTGGAATCATTCTTGTGGCCTGCACTTCAGGCCACTCTGCTCCCTTGCAGTCCAGGCTGAGGCCTAACGTGGGGGGCGGAATACCCCACACGTGCTACTGTAGGGTTCTCACACCTTTCTCTGCAGCAACTGGGACACTGTCCGAGTTGGCATACAGCACTAGATGGTGCTAGGATCTGAGCCAGTCTTGCAATGCCTATGAACCCACTCCAGATGCTGGGAGTGGGCAACAGGGGATGGATCACACAACGATTACCTGTTCTGCTCATTCTCTCGGAAGCACCTGGCATTGGCCACTGTCGGAAGACAGGATACTGGGCTAGATGGACCTTTGGTCTGACCCAGCATGGCCGTCCTTAGGTACCCTCCGGTTTGAACTGTGGGCACCAGAACTGCGTATAGTCTCTGGGGGTGGTCTCCTGGTTCCTATTCGACGCTCCCCTGCTCATACAGCCTAGGATCCTGGCCAGCCTTCATAGCCACCGCAGCACTCTGGGAACTCACTTGATGGCAGAGGCTGACCTACCAGGTCAGCTTCTTTCCCACACAGCCTGTGGGTCAATGGCAGGCGCTTTCCTGGATGGGAATTCCCTGGTGCTGAATCATGACTGAACCCCTCTCCCTGAGGTGGGTCCGTGGCCGGGCCCCTCTGAGCTGATTTCCTGGTGTCTAGCTGTAGTCAATCTTCCAACCAAACTTCCCACCCTTCTCCCGCCCCATGTCACTGGATGGCAGGGGTCCCCTCGCTGTGGATCCTCTGGTGCCGGATCAGGTTGGAGCTGCGGCTCAAGCCCTTCCCGCAGCTGGCACAGCAGAAGGGCCGCTCCCCGGTGTGGGTGCGTTGGTGATGGAGCAGGCTGGAGCTGCGGCTGAAGCGTTTGAGGCACTGGGTGCACTGGTAGAGTTTCTCCCCCGGGCCGGCTTCATTCTCCTCCAGGGGCTCTCCCTGCTGCTGTCCTGCCCCGCCTGGGCTCTCGCTGGCTCCTCCCTGTGTCCTGTGCAGCTCTGTTCCCGCCGACCCTTCCTGCTGGGGATTCACCTCCTCGTTCTCACTCGCTGTCCTGGCACCTTCTGGGGGAGAGCGAGAGAAAGAGAGGCAGCTGATGGGCAGGAAGTGAATCCCCCCAAAGCTGGGGGAGGCCAGGGGTCAGGCAGGGCAGGTGGGAGCCGGGAGTGATGCCTGCCCTGAGGACAGGGGACAAGACAAGACAGACTGGAGAGCTCCCAATGGCTTTGCTGGGATCCCAGCTTTCCCCTGCTCTCTGAGCCGGCGTCACTCACTCCTCACCTCTCAGGCTCTCCCTTTCCTTGGAGTCCTGGAGAATCAGGATGCTGGGCTCCTCCCCGCGCTCCATCCGGGAGATCATGGCAGGTTTGGCTGAGGGCGTGAAAGCCGAGAGGAGATGTAGCACAGCATTGCCACAACTGGCCCCTGAATCCAGCGGATCGAGAATTTTCCATGGAGATTTGCTCAGGGTCGTGGGGAGAGATTGGTAGACGCTCATAGAGTCTAGTCGGATCTCCTGCACAACGCAGGCCGGGGAAACCAGCGTAGATCTGGGTGAATAACTGAGGTGTTTTTGTTCAGTGGGTGACCTGAGCCTGACTGGGGCTTTCAGTGCTGCTCTCCTACCGACAATAGGAAGTGGCTCTGATTCACCCAGTGAGACCCCATACTGCACTCCTGACACACAAAATTAAATATTGTGCAAATGTTCTCCCGGCTGTTGAGCTCAGCCCTGCCCAGCTGCCTGGGTGGGTTCCCTCTGGCCTCAGCCACAGGTCAGCTGGGCTCCCTTTGTCCTGGCAGCCTGTTCCTCCCAGCAGCAATTTCCTGCCTCTGCCTGTTTCTGTCCCTCCCCTGGGCCGCCTCTCGCTGTAATTCCCCTTTAGCCCAGAGACTCGCCGCTTGGAAGCCTTATTCCCAAAGGTGTTCCCAGGAGAGCTCATCAATTGGATCCAACCCCTCAGTGCACAAGGTGCTGAGAGAGTCCAGCCTGATACTTCCAGAGGAAACAGCTGAGAGCAGGAAG